TTGTTTTTCAAAACATGTTTAGCAATTATTAATGTTAATATATATTAGAAGAAAGGTTGTTCAATTACGTTTCCTTACGTAATAAATTTTTTTGGATAAATAATTTTTTTTTGTAAAAATTTGCAAGTTTTGAGTACCTCTTATGGGTACATGTACAGAAATCTACAAAGCTGTTAGCCAAGGCTTGTTTTTCAAAACATGTTTAGTAATTACTAATGTTAATATATATTAAAAGGTAATTCAATTACTTATCCTTCTGTAATAAATAGTTTTGAATAAATACATTTTGTTTTGTAAAAATTTGCAGATTTTGTGAACTGCTTTATTCGAGTGCAAAACACATGTAGGAAATTTACAATGTTGTTAGGCAAGAATTATTTATAAAAAATTTAGTCATTATTAAAGTAATTGCATACTAAACAGGTAATTTACTTTTCGTACTGTGATAAATTCTTTTAAATAAATTAACTTTCGTTAAAAAACCCTCCAATCGTACCCGTAGGGGATGAGTCGAGACTAATTGATCTCCAATAATACCCGTATGAGACTAGTTGCGACTAATTAATGCCCAATTGTACCCGATTGCGACTCATCCCGGAATACTCTCTTTAGAGATTAGTCGCACAATTTTTTGCAGGGCATGTTGGGTGCTAATCTGTGTGTGTGCGTGTGTGTGTGAGCATTTGAGAGGTGCGAGACGAGCGCAAGCAAAATATTTGTTTTGTTTGGCAACGTGTGACAGACAACCGGCTGGCATATTACCCTGGTTGTCAACTGACTCCTCACAAGTGTCTACAAATGTAGCACAGATAGTACATATATGTATATGTGCCTCATCATATCTGCGCTCCATTCCATATCTACTCTTATCTTTCCAGCTCGAAATGTTGAGCGGTTGCCAGGCAAATACTAAATTTGCGCTTACATGACTGTCTGCTTACCCGACGCCTCATGCTCTCTTATCAACGCATGAAAACAGCTGGTCATGTAAGTGAGGAGAAAAACAAGTAAGAAAGTCTAAGTTCGGGCGGAGCCGAACATTAAATACCCGGCGCAAATATTAAATATTTGTTTTTCACCTTTCCGAAAGCTACCGCTACATGGTAAGTCAGGGTGTATCAATTCTGAGTAAATTAGCGTCCTTAAATCCAGTCCAGTTTCAAGCATTTCTAAAATTTACCGTTATGTGAAAAGCCGTAATTTTAGTCCGATTTCAATAATTTTCAACGCTTTGCTTTTATGTGGCAAGCACAATAACCATACAGAGTTTGGTACAAATTGGAAGAACGGTTACCGAGATACGTATATGTGATCATAAGTGGGCGGTGCCTCGCCCATTTCCCAAAATTTTATCATTAACGTATTTCCTGGTAAAGGATTGTTGCAAGCATCAATTTTGAATAAATTAGCTTTAATATTTACTGATTTATCGAAGATTTCGTATTTCTCCAAATTACCGTTATATGGGATGTGGACGTGGTTATTGTCCGATTTTAAAAATTTTCAGCCATTTGGTATCCTGTACCAAGGCTGTGCCAAGTTTGGAAGAAATCGGTGCACACATATAACCTTAACCGATATACACATATAACCTTAAGTGGGCGTGGCTACGCCCATTTTTCAAAAATGTATAATATTCTTATTTTTTGTCTAAAAATTATTGTAAATATCAATTTTGAGTGAATAATCTTCAGTAGTTACTAAAATATCGCAGTTTCCGTATTTCTGAAAATTACCGTTACATGGGAGGTAGACGTGGTTATTGTCCGATTTTGCCCATTTTCAATACCATCCGTCCTACGCCCGAAAGAAGTACACGTACCAAGTTTCGTTAAGATATATTAATTTTTACTCGAGTTATCGTGTGCACAGACGGACGGACGGACAGACAGTCACCGCTTAATCGATTTCTCTTTTCATCCTGATCATTTATGTATACATTTGTCTATATCTATCTCGATTCGTTTTGCCTGTTACAAACAACCGTTATGTGAACAAAGTTATAATACCCTTGTGCACAAGTGCGCTCGGGTATAATAAAATAAAACAAATAGAAGAAAACTGCAAATAGAAAATAAAAATGTTAAATAGATACTCAAGCAAATAGTGGTCCAATGCAAATAGTTTGCGGCAATAAAAAGTGCCATAAAATTAAGTAAAATTATGCGCATATACATATATGCATTAGGGTGGTCCTTAAAAGTAATAATATCTTTGGGCACACCTTTTTTCTACGCACAAATTAATGACATTCACAAAATTAAAAAAAATAGGGGTCGCTACCAGGGTTTGGAAAAATTTATATTTTTTTAAATCGCGAAAATTCTACAAGATTTTGACTTTGATTCAGCGAGTTTATGACTTTTTATGAACTAGGAGTGCCAGTTACTGCCGAAACTCAATAACTCGAGTAGTTTCGATAATTTGCGACGAATTTCGATAACTGGACTTTTCGAGGGCTCGATAATTTCGATAACTCGAAAATGTATAAATCTGGATATAAATCGAAGTTTGATATTCACAAAATACACCGCACAAATATTAGCGCAAATACTAATTAGTGCAAATAAGGAACGAATAAAAATTCTTATCTTATTGGTAACAATTGTTATTTGCGCAAATATTTGTGTGGTGTATTTTGCGCAAAATTTCGATAACGCAATAAACATTGATCAATTTAAATACTTCGATACCTTGCGATAACTCAATAAATATGGATATCTCGATAAAT